ATTTTTTCATTTTCGAATGCGCACGCGTGTCAGTACATTGCTCTCGAACATATCTAACCAACACTATAATTTATCTACCTATTATAATATACGTATATATTTTCTGATTTAAAGTATTACAAAAATAGGTTATTATAATAATAATCAACTTATATAAACTGTAAACGGGGGAATTCACTTTTCTAATAACGCAGCTTTTTTTTTTATTATTTCAGTCGTTTATTTAGAAAGTGGCCTAACTCCATTTATGTTCGAATGGAGATATTGAAGGGTTTGCGTTTCAATGCAATTATTGGATTGTTCGGAAAGGAATTTCATTTTTTCTTGACACAATAATGGCTTGTTTGATGTTAAATTTACATTAATTAATTAAATAATAATTATTATAAAATCTTTTTTTACAAAAGTATTGCAGTAAGTAAAATTTGTTTCATTTGTTTGAGAATTGTTTTGGCGCCATTCACGGATTCCGAATCTTTACGAAGTAGAACGAATAATAAAACCCACGTATACACGTGGTGGTGGGTACACGTGAACGTATATGTGTTAGTAATTCTTTCGTTCGTGAATTCATTTAAGTGTTACACACACACTGTTTTCACTTTTTCTCCCCTCATGCGTGGTTTAAATGAATTTCTTCCTTCTCTTTATATTTCATACAAATTTTGATACGTTTTTAATAAATTACTACGTGTTCATTTTTTTTTTTTATTCTTTATTATAATTTTTTATATGATGGTAATATGATGATGTTTGAGTGTGTTTTACAACGCACTAAGTCACTTTCCCTTTTGAAAATCGATTTTGGCGCCGGCAAATTCTACCGGTCACGTCACGGCGCAATTCAAACGCCAATGAAAAAAGAAAGAAAATAAAAAAGAAAAAAAGATAATAAGAGATAAAATATATGTTGATACTTTTGTTTTTCGGTCAGGGCCGTGTAAGAATTCACGATCTACATTAAGATTTGATCTCAAAATTTCATTGCAAACATTTGTAATCATTTCAAACGAGTTTATTGTTCTTCTTATCAATACTTGGTATTCGTTCAATTAGCATTTATTTCAATTCGATAATTCGTATTTATTTGAACTATTAAAATATTTCATCGTTGAACTGAATAAAATGTTTCTCTCTCTCTCTCTCTCTCTCTCTCTCACTTCTGATGACTAAAATTCTTTAACAACTGGGTCATAGTGTTATTTCGAGACACCCGACGTTTAGAATATATCGTTAATGTCGTCTTCTCTTGTCAAGTTAACTTGGCGCCAATCAAAAGCATAAAAAAAAGAAACCCCATTTGAAAAAAAAAGAATAAGAAAAATAATAGTAAAAAACTAAAAGTAGCAAAGAAACAGAAAAATTATTACCTAATCATCAAACCCACCCCATCCCCAAATAAAGAAACAGGAAGGGATTGGGCACACTGCTAATTATCTGATAACCCCAGGTTCCTCTGATGGTGGTGGTAATGGTGGTGTTCCACTTTCGATCATCTTCCATCTATCCTTTCATCCTTCCATTCTTTCATTCCTTTTCACCGTTTATATTCTTCTGCTTATACACACAAACACATAACGAATCCCAATTCCCATCGCAATTAAGCATGGTGTGCAGCAATAGTAGTAATAGTATAAACCCTGTTCAAATATTTTCGTTTACGTTGCTCATTCAACCACCAAACCCCCAAACCTTTGAAAAACATTTCTGCTGCTGTTGCATGCATGCATGCAACATACGTTCACTATGGTGATGATGCTTCGTTAGAAGTCTCCCCGAAAAAAAAAGGAACACCAGTTAAATTGAACAGAGAAGAGAATACACCATAAAAGTAATAGTAGTGTCCAAAAAGAGGGGGAGGAAAAAAAGTATAGTTGGTGATACGTCTTAGGCTACATCAAAAGCTCTTCCACGGTGGTGAGCTGCTGTGGTCAGGTTCCTCATGGTTCTATTCCACCCCTGTATTCATAGCTTGGAAAAGTTCTTTCTCTCCCTTTTCCTCTATCTTTTACACACACACGCACACACACACACACACATTGAATATTCAACATATAGTTTAACAAACAGGCAAGTTATATGCAACTTACATGGAACATATACATCCTACTACTTTGAAGAAACATGGGGGGTGGTGGGTACACACATTCTCAAGCAACGTTGAAACTTAGACGTTTAACAGCACACACACACACGCGCACACACGCATACACTTGCAATCATGAATTTCTCTAACTTATAGAAGAGAGAGAGAGAGAGAGAAAGAGAGATCTGTTTCGTTCGGCTTTAGGTAAAAATAGCGGGTTTCGTTTTAAAGGTGAACGAACGAAATGATGGCGAAGTTGTTTACACGTGCGTGCAAGCGAGAACCGGCTGGTTAAATCTCTTGTAAGATTTAGAGAGGAGGTTGAGTATTAGAGAAGGAACAACTGTAGCAGTAGACAGAGGAGAGGGAGGAAGAGGAGGTGGTTGTGGTGGTGGTGGTAAAGGAAGGATGTTGTAATAGTAGTAGTGGTGGTGGTGTAGAAGGAAAGGGTTGGGACGAGTTTGCGGGTTACGACATTCATCGTAGTGGAGGTGGAAGTTCTCCTCCTCTTCCTTCGAGTTGGCGCGCGTGTATCCTAGCAAGAGGGAAAAAGAGGGTTGAGAGGAGAAAGAGGAGGAGACGATATCAGGGCAACCCCTACACTTTCGTTTCAGCTTCCCTTCTGTCTCCTTCTCCTTTTCTTCCATACCTTTCACTCTCACTCTCATAGTCAGTCTAGGTTCTCCCACCAAGCAAGCAAGCAAGCAAGCAAGCAAGCAATGCCACCGAAAATTCCCAAAAGCACGCGAAACAAAGGCTTCCTCTCTCTCCTCTCCTTTCTTCTTTCCTCTCCTCTCCTCTCTTGTCCTCTCTTTCTAATCTACAGACGACTCGTAGCACGTGTCCGCGCGGCAAAGTTCGCTTCGACGAACAAACCCTTGGTGGTGGTGATGGTGGTGGTGGTTGGCAGGGCCTACCACCACCAATACCAATACCATCACTACCACTACTATCACCATTGCCGTTCTTTTTTTACGGTGAGGTAGAAACGAATTTTTATGCATTATTTTTTACTCGACACTTTTATAATTGTTGTTAATGTTGTAGTACTTCTAATGCATCAATCACCCCTACCTATCTTTCTAATGATTTTAGTATTATCTATCTTGATGTAAGTTTTTGGCACCACTAAAACCCTTCTGTAACATCGTTAAGTGTATCATCGTCTGTTCTTTTTTTGTCAATTATATTTGTCTACCTTGTAAGAGTTTGACTCCTCTCTAGTCACAGCGTTTAGCGAACTCTGCGAATTTTTGTCGTTGCACTCGATGGGGGGCTCGTTGCACTTCGGGGGGTGTGTACTTCTAATAAATCTCAGAAGTGGTGGTTGCTCAACCCAACTTCAATCTTTTTTTCTCTTTTGCATAGTCACACAGATCACATTTTGTATAATATTCTCTAGGCTACTCTTTAAACATCCTGAGTTGCGTATTTTCAAGTGGAAACTAATCGATGCACTTTTGCATACCCAACTGTATTAATTGACAAATAATTCAATTAAAAAAAATGATCAGCAAATTATCTATCGAATTAGATCGTTCAAAATAAAAATAATTTTAGTTAGCAAAGAGAGAAAGAAAAACGTTTGATAAGTGAAAGTGAAAGTGGTAGATAGAGTAGGTAGAAAAAGGGGTGAGAATCATAGAAAGAGAAAGAAAGAAAGAAAGAAAGAAAGGAAGAGTGAGTGAGTGAGTGAGTGAGTGAGTGAGTGAGTGAGTGAGTGAGTGAGTGAGTGAGTGAGTGTGCGAGTGAGTGTGAGGGCCAAGGGATTGATCCAAAGGCAACGTCGGCGCGTTTCCTTCAAGGTTAGCCAAAAGCCCTCGCGGCGTGCTGAGTGGGTCGGCGCGTTGAAAAATCGATAGCTACGAAAGTGAGAGTCTCGGGGCCGTTTCACCCTCCCTTTTTGTTCTTTCCGCTTGGCGTCCTCCCTGTCTCCTCTCTTTCCCTTGCCTTAACCCTCAGTCCTCTTCCTCAGCCCTCTCTCTTTCTTTCCTCCTTATTTTTGCAGTTTGGTTCATTCATATCGTACAAAGAGAGAGGACTATACCATCATCGTCATCATCATCACACAACCATAACTGCTGTTATGCTACATGTGTGCTATCTCTTTCTTTCTTTTTTTACCACGCACGATATCGCCAGCGAGAGAGAAAGATAAAGATAAAGATATCATAAGTGTTGTGTTGTATTCTTATCCCTCTTTCTATCTTTTCTGTTTCATTTTACTCTTTCATAGGCGCCATAATGACGTGCCTTTTACTCTCCCTCCTAGTTCTTTTTCCTTCCTGTGTTCGTGTGTTATTCTTATTCTTAATTCGTCGTCGTCTTCTTCTTATTATTATTATTTTATTTTTTTTTTTTTTCTACGACCTCATCCTCTCATAACTTCTCTTCCTCTTCAACCATTTACTTCTACTATTAACCGTTTCGTTTTTACTAGGAGACACCACTCTTAGTACTCCTCCTCAGTCTTCTTCTTCTTCTTCTTTTTACAATCGTTTGCCCCTTTTGTGAATTTAAACGATCTCTTTTTCCTTTTTTGGGGGGTGGGTTTGAGCTTGAGTATACTTTTGAAGTTCAAACGGAACATTCGTCAGTGTTTTAATTTCTTTTTCTTTTTCATTAGAGTGTTTATATTTATTAAACCACCATGTATTACATTTTGGATGATAATAATTGAATATTAATCAAGGCAGCTGATTTTAAATATTCGCGCCTAATTTGTTAGCACATGCGCACTCTTTTATTTTCAAATATTCAAATAAATATGACAATGATCATATATATATATATATATATATATATACACGTACCTGAAAAGCAAGCTTATAAATATATAAAATAATATTTTCTTTCATTGTTGTACTTTAAAAGAATGATAATTAAATTTGTTCTTTTTTTTTCTATTTTGCAGCAGCAGCGGGGCCACCACAAATAAAATTCTCGTTAGTAACGTTTCAATTAATATAAGATTAGAGGATTTCGAATCACTTTTATTGAACTACGGACAGGTTCAAGTACTCGAAAAAGTGACATCGCGGGACCCAAATACACTTTCCTACCTTGTCAGCTATGAAACCCCAGAACAGGCACAGCAGTGAGTATACATATATGTATTTTTCAATAATTTCATGGTGAAAATAATTATTTACATGGTTATAACCTTTGGGGACGATAAGCGACTCTCGGTTGCCACGACGTTTCGTTCGGCAGGACGAGTGGCGAGTGAGGGGCGATAATCTGTGTTTTATGCTTTATTTTGTTAACTCTAACTAAAGGGAATGAACTATTGGTACTTGGAAAAGGCTTCCTTAGCTTTTATTTGCCATATTTTATAAACATGTGTAAAGACATTCGACATAATTGGCAAAAATCACCTCGTCCTGGTACCTAAACTGGTTGAAAAAGTTATCGTCCACAAAGGGTTAAATTTACTTCAACGTTGAAACGAATTGTTAATGTTCTAAAATAAAAAGTAACAAGTTTAAAACGTATCACTTATTTATTTTTTTTAATTTAAACAGGGCTGTCACCCAATTAAACGGCTATGAATACGAAAGTAACTTATTGAAGGTAGAAATGGCTTCGGCAGAAAGCCGAAGAAGAGCGAGGAGTACGCGCACCGGAACAGGGTTTCCTGGAGCGCCAGGGGCCGGGCGTCAAACTGATTTCCCGCTTAGAATTTTGGTACAGTCCGACATGGTCGGAGCCATTATTGGACGACAGGGGACGACAATACGTCATATTACTCAGTCATCAAGAGCAAGAGTTGACGTTCATAGAAAAGACAATGTTGGCTGTGTGGAGAAAGCGATTACTATTTACGGAAATCCCGAAAATTGCACCAATGCGTGCAAAAAGATATTAGAAGTGATGCAGCAAGAAGCTGCAAGCACAAACAAAGGGTAAACTTGATTGATATGATATTTGATAAATTTTCATTGTATTCCTATAAATGAGGGATAAACATTTGATTTTATTCGTTATATTCACAGAGATATAACATTGAAGATTCTTGCCCATAATAACCTAATTGGGCGTATTATCGGCAAAGGCGGTAATACTATAAAAAGAATCATGCAAGACACAGAATCTAAAATTACTGTGAGTAGTATTAATGATATTAACAGTTTTAATTTAGAAAGAATTATTACTGTGAAGGGGACTATAGACAATATGAGCAAAGCAGAAGCTATGATTTCGAGTAAACTGCGGCAGAGCTATGAAAACGACTTGCAAGCTATGGCGGTAAGTTATTTTACTTATTGATAATCATTGAAAACATTAAGAAAATATATCAATAATAAATTATGGTGTCTGCAGCCTCAAACCATGATGTTCCCGGGGCTACATCCCATGGCGATGATGTCCACCGCTGGAATGGGGTACAGTTCCCGCGGAACAGCACTGTACGGGTCTGGACCAACACCATACCCATACACGAGCAATTTACCGTCTTCAGCCGTACCTTCTGGGGAATCCCAGGAGACGACGTTCCTGTATATTCCGAATAGCAGCGTAGGTGCTATTATAGGTACCAAAGGTTCTCACATTAGAAATATTATTAGATTTTCTGGAGCAAGTGTAAAAATTGCTCCCCTAGAGCAAGATAAACCTGCAGATCAACAAACTGAAAGAAAAGTGACCATTGTTGGATCACCTGAATCGCAATGGAAAGTAAGTAGTCATATTAAACTTCTTCAATATACTTTCGCTTTTCTTCCGTAGCATTGGTTGGCTTCGCGTAACTGGCGTTGGTTTGGTAAAACCATGATCGTCGGTTCGAAACCAACCGTCGGACGGATATTTTCTTAGGTTTTTTATCCTACTCATTTGGGTCTGTGCCGTTTTTTAAGCATTAGATCTAGATAAAGTAGGTAGATTAAACAATTATAAGCCCCGTACTGATTAACATAATATACTCTGTGCTTTTCGGTTCCGTATTAAACCCTTTAACATTTTTTTTTCTTTTTTATATTTGAATAAATCTACGTGATTCTCCGTAAGATGGAAATCCTTATTTACTAATGATATTGGAATATTTTTCAGGCACAGTATTTGATCTTTGAGAAGATGCGCGAAGAAGGCTTTGTCGCAGGTACAGAAGATGTGAGACTGACAATTGAAATTTTAGTACCTAGCGCTCAAGTAGGCAGAATCATCGGTAAAGGTGGACAAAATGTAAGAGAATTACAGCGTGCCACTGGAAGTGTCATCAAATTGTCAGAGCAACAAGCTACGCCACCCTCTGCTGATGAAGAAACGACCGTTCATATTACTGGACCATTCTTTTCAGTTCAGGTAGAGATTTATTACCATAAGAATTTCAAAGAAAAAAAAAGAAAAAATCAGTGTCCTGTGATGAACTTCATTGTCAAACAGTGTGAATGTCTCGAATATAATTTATCTTTTCTTTTTCTAGTCTGCTCAAAGAAGGATAAGATCAATGGTCCTTCAATCCGTAGCACCAGGAGGTGCTGGTAGTGCAGCTGCACGTGCTGGTCGTGGTGCCAGTCAAGAAGGGGGTTCCCGTTCCCGACGTGATGGCAGTGCCACGTCCCAACAAGGAGGAACTATCCCAACACCTCAAACTCCTACTTCCTCTCAAGTACAAACAAGTTTGTCGTCACCATCACCTCAACAGCAGCAGCAGTCGCAACAACAACAACCGCAACAGCAACAGCAACCATCGTCACCACAACAATCAACGCCAATTCAGTAACCTCGATATTATGGAGGGTTAAAACAAAATTAAATAGAAGGAATAACAAATTAACTACAACCAACAATATCAACAACCGACAACAACAACAACAACAATTTACAACAAACAATAATCTGATGCTGACTTTAGCAGCCACTCATAAAACTCTTATATAACAAAAAACAAAAGAAACCTACAAATGAACATTGAATTTTGCTCGACGGGGGTAGAGTGGGTCACTCATCGAGAGATGCAACCGTTTACAAATGAACAAAAAAACACTAAGACCTCCCTCTCGCTAAGAGATTGCACTTACCCCCGCTTTTTTCGAGCATAAGAATATTAATGAAAATAGGAAATAGTTTAAGGACTTATAAAAAGAGAATATGATTACATTTTTTTTTTTTTTTTGAAACAAAGAAAGAAAGAGAGAAAGACGGGTAATTTATTCTATATATATATGTATATAAAGAAAAAAATTATTAATTAGGCAAAAATAATGATTGATGATGATGATGACGATACTGATAATACGACTTTTAAGATTATAGGAGACCTATACATGAGTTCTCGCGCGATGCACAGAGATATTTAATTGGTCATACGAACAACAAATAATTTATTATTGTCATTTTATCTTTATTTTATTTTTTTTCTTCTTCTCGTCAAAAACTTTACCCAAAAAAAAAAAAACAAAAAAAAAGGACTAAAAAAAAAAACCACAAAAAAAATTAACAAAAAATATCATTCCAATACCAGGAAACTAAAATAATATTATTAATGATACTACTGCTACTCTACTTGATTTTTATTTATTTATTTATTTATTTTTTTTTTTTTTTTTTTTTAAGCAACCCCTCTCTCCACCTGCCAACTATCAGAAAGAGCCATCTCCCTACCGATCACAACATACCGTGTTTGGTAGGTTTATATGTTTTTTTTTTGTTTTTTTTTGTCCCCTTCTCCCCTTCGGCTCTTTTTATTTATTGTTTATTTGATATTTTGGTTTTGTCAAATGAACACGCGCAGGTGATCAGAGATACAATATTAATACAAGATGATTAATTATATTTTTAGGTGTACATATGATGTTAATAATAATCATAATAATCATAATAATAATTATATTAATAAAAAAAGAAAAGAAGAAGAAGAAGAAGAAGAAGAAAAATACTCTCTCTTTTTCTGTACAAATGAAGAAATTTTCAACAGAATTGATTACAAAATAGAAATAGGTAGTGAGAGAGAGATATATTTATATAAATAGTAATGATAATGATGCTAATAATCATAATAATGATGAAGATGATTATATGATGATAGTAATGATAATAATAATCATGACTATGATGAAAATAATGATGCGATAGAAATTGTAAAAAAAATAAGAATGAAGAAGAAACAAACATATATAGAAATAAGGGAACGAAATTGGGAAAGGTCCTTTTAAACGTGTACGGCGTTTGTTTGATGATGCTGATGATGATGATCTTCATGAGAGTAGAATGCTTTGCTACAGCAGCAAAATAGCATCCTCCATTTAAGCACTTATTTTTCGTGGTTAGTGCAGATAGATAAAAAAAGGATTCTTGTTGACAATGTACATTTGCATTTACACCCCCTCCCTCTTCCCCCGATAATGGGAGTGTCAACAACCTTCCTCCCTCTCCCAGCTGCACCCTCGAATTACATCCCAATTTTTGTTAACCCACGTTTCTATAATTTCTTCTTCTTCGATATACATAAAAGAAACCCTTTTCAAGGATTACAAAAGAAAAGATAAATTGAAACAGCGCTTTTAAAAAAGAAATACTGAAATTAAGGGGTTACTAAACAGATAAATTAATTTTATTTTTTTTTATGTTGCCTATATCGTTAGAACATTAAGAGTGATTTTTTAAATTATTATTATTTTTTCTTTCTTTATTTGTATACTTATATAATTATTACATTATTAGTTCGTGCACGAATACATATACACACTCAATATACACACACTCACACACACATACACACACAACACATATACACGTACACACTTATACATGCATGCCTTTCTTCAGTTAAAATTCAAAATTCTAAACGAAACAACTCGTGCGAACGTTCTGCTGCCGCACTACCGTTGTGTGTTTAAAAAAANAAGAGGAAAGAGCAAAGAGGAAAGAGGAAAGAGCAAAGAGAAAGGTCTGGAGAGATAAAGAGAGAAGAATAGTAAAAAAAAAAAAAAAAAAAAAACAAAAAAACAAAAAAAAAAACAAAAAAAATTTGAAAAAAAAGAAAAAAATTATGTTCGCATTGTGAAAAAAAAAAAAGTTTCGGTTTCGTTTGTAATTACTTTATTTATTTTTTTTTTTGTAATTTTTTTCCTCTCTCTAATATTTGTTCGTCTGGGTATAACCGTTTATTTTATCTCTGCGCATCGCATTAAATAATCAATTTTTAGGTTATGTACGTATAGAAAAAAGAAAAAAAAAAGTAAAAAAAAAAACATTCATCAACAACAACTGCAACTTGTAAAACTGCAATTGCAATTATAACTAACAACAACGACAACAATTATTACTAACAATAATTACCCGTCTTCTCTTTTCAATAAAGAAGTAAGAGAAACAAACAAACAAAAGGTTTGATGGTGGGAGAAAGATAAGAAGAAGGAGTGGGGGGAGGTCGTTTATTCTATTTGATAAACTAGCGTTGTTTTATGGGAGGAGTTGGGGGGAGGGGTGGTAATTGACTAATCGAACAATCAGGGTTAAATGATAAAAAAAAACCACCCCTCTGATGAAATAGAATACGACAATTATTGATAACAATATGATTACATAACAGAAACAACCTTTTTACCTCATTCATTATGGTTAAAGATTTAATATTGATTAAAGTGCAGCGTAATGAGAAAGAGGAGTTTTAAAGGATAATAAGTAAATCAATAAATAATCTAAATAAAAGAATAAACAAAATAATAAATAAATAACTAAATAAATAAATAACTAAATAAATAATTAAATAAATAAATAAATAATTAAATAAATAAATAAATGAAATGAAATGAAATGAAATGAAATGAAATGAAATGAAATGAAATGAAATGAAGTGTAAAGGAAAGAAAAAGTAATGAAAGATAAAAATAGATGAAAATGTTGAAGACAATGATGGATTATGATGATAGGGAAGATTTAAAACATGAAAGAGAAAAAGAAGAAGAAGAAGAAGTTTAATATTAAAGTTAATAATAATAATATTACAGAGAGAAATAAATATCGATAGATAATGAAAGAAGAAAAGTTAATAGTGACAATTATGCATTATGTTATAACTGTTACTACTTGCTATTATTATTATTATTACTACTACTACTACTACTACTACTATTACTATTCTTACAACTTACCACTACTATTATTATTACTACTGCTATTACTATTACTATTACTACTATTATTACTACTATCACTACCACCATTTAATAATTACTTTTACTAATTACCAATCTGGTAAAAGTTAAAAGATAAAACATAACACAAATGAAAATATAATAGATAGATTATTTTTCAATCTATTTTTTTTTTCTTTTTTTTTTTTTTCTTTTTTTTTTTCTTTCTTTCTTTTACTTTTCCTTTCTTCTATGTGTTTCATTTTTTGTATGTTTTTTTTTTTTTTTTTTTTTTTTTTTTTTTTTAAATAAATAAATACATTTAACCCACATATACATACATATACACGTGCTATACACTTACGTCAATATTTTCATTAACAAAATAAAATAAGGCATACTGAAAAAAAAAATAATTAAAAGGTTAACTGTTTCTTTTGTTTTAGTTTTTTTTTTTTTTGTTTTTTTTGTTTTTCTTTCATCTGTGGAAGAAGAGTGAAAGATAATAAGATTGAAATAATTATTATTAACATTACATTGACAACACATTGACACACTTGATTAATACGAGTGGTAAAACAACACACATACATACACAATCGTTTGATTATTATAAAAACCATTATCAAATACTACAACTATACTACTACCATTCTACTGCTGTTGCTGATGATGATAATTATGATTATGATGATGATAATTATGATTATGATGATGATGATTATGATGATGATGATGATGATGATGATAATGATGATAATGATGATGATGAAGATGATGAAGATGATGATGGTGATGATGATGATAATGATAATGATGATATTACTGCTGCTGATGTTTTCTAATGCTTCTTCTTCTTTTTCTCAAGCAGCAGGTATGTGTCTACGTGTGTGATACCCCCACCCCTCGTTAAATAATACCAAAGAACTAATTATGAGATCTTGATTTTTTTCTTTCTCTCTCTCTCTCTCTCTCTCTCTCTTTCTCTCTCTCTTTTATATGAATTATCTTCTTTTTTTTTTAAATAATAATTTGTCGTATATCAAACAATCTCATTGATTTTTAATAAACTATTCAGGATAATAATACAATATATATATATATATATATATATTAATTAATTATATTAATAAATTTAATAATTAAATTAAATTATATTAATATTAATTAAATTAATATTATATATATATATAATATTAATTAAAATATAATTACGTGTATTTGTTTAAGAATGAAATTTCTTTTTTGTAATTTTACAAACAATTACGTTCATAAATAAATAAAGAAAGAGAGAAAGAGAGAGAGAGAGAGAGAAGGGGGAAAGTAAAAGAAAGAGAGAGAGAGATAGGGAGGGGAGGGATTCACACCGTGATTTTTTTTTTTTTTTTTAAGAAAAATAAAAAACTAAAAAGAAAATGATAAATGAGATATGAGGAGGAATTTTTAACAAAAAAAAAAAAATTATCTAAGAGATAATAAAGAAATGAAATTAAATTGAAAAAAACAAAAAATATATCATCGACTAACGTGTGATGAGTGATCATCAAATGGGTTGAAAATCATCGTATGGGGTAACATGAAAAATGACGGAACGAGAGGATTGAAAGAGAAGGATGAAAAATAACAAGATTGAAGACTGTTTATAATAATAATTAATAATAATAATTATTAATAATAATAATTAAAATAATATTAATAATAATATTAATAATAATAATAATAATAATAATATTAATAATAATAATAATGAAGAAGAAAAAAATCACCGACGATGGGGCCTCTGATTGAGAAAAAAAAAAACAA